GCCGCGACGCCCAGGTGAGAGGCGCCCGCACGGGGCTCCTCCTCGGCCTCCTCTTCCTCCTGCAGCCGGTGCTTCCTGATGGGGAATCCTGGAGTCCCTCGCCTGTGCCTGTACCTGTGCTTTTGCAGCCCCTTTGCTCCCTCTTCCTCTTGCTTCCCATCTGCCTGCGTCTCGGACGCTTGCTGTGCTTGCCGGGGGCTCTGCAGCGGTTCTATGGCCTTGCCCTGTGACCGGCCCTGCACAAGCCAGCTTCCCACCCTGCTGCAAACACCTATTGCAGCCCCCTCTGGAGCTCCCTGGCTTAAAAATGGATGGTTATAGGAAAAACTAGATATTCCTCAAGCCTGTGCACTGAGCGCTTGTGCTCGCCTCGCTGCCTTTATGGGAAGTGCTGTAGCTTTCCCCCTCCGAGCTTTGGGCCTCGGGGTTGTTCCGTGGGTCGCAGCGGCGAAGTGCAACGCTCTCCTCGCCATCTCCCCTTCGTTCCTGCAGAAGGAGCTGGAGGTCGCCCTGCAAGCTCGCCGCAGGGAGCTGGAGGACTTGTCGCAGAGGAAGCGCGCGGTGCAGGAGAACATCTGCGGCCTGACGGTAACTGCGGTGCCAGGGCGTCCTCGTGCCGCCCTCTGGGGACTGCTGGGCATTCGCCTGAGAGGAGCATGCAGGGCGGCTCTAGAGGTTGCACAGATGCTTTTTCAGAAGGAAAGATGAATATCCCTAATCACCATAGTCATAAAGACAGTGCGAGGGTAGCCAAGAGTGGTTTTTATTGCTGGTTGTTTATTAGTGCTCATTTAGAGTCCCTAAACCTTGTTACCTTCCTGATCTCTTTGCATCTATTGCCCTGGACTTGAGCCGGCCTGACTCACAGTCATGGAGTCAAGTTTGCAGCCAGGTGCAGCCTTGCTCGGTCACAGCTCTCTGGGTTAATGTTTGCAGAAGGGTGTGCCCACGTGTTCCAACTTGCTGTAAAAGCTGAGGGAATAATTGCGTAGGGATCTGAATGGATCCCTCTGGACACGTCTGCCGAAAATGATCCCTGCTGAGTATTCAGGAAGGGTGTTGAGAGGAGGCCCGAAGCCCTGGTTGATGCAGGGCTGGTGCAGCAGAGCCAAGACAGGATGAGAGATGAGAGCTGCCCGTGGGGCTGGGCATCCCATCCTCGCCCTGCAGAGCCACCACATCAGGCAGGGGGTAGCTCGTATATGCTGGAAAATTTCTTGTGTGCCCAAAGAACAGGGCTGGTGGCAAAGCCGATGCGGTGGTAGTGGCAGCAGGGACGCTGCGGGGCGGTGGCTGTGTCACCAGGACCGTGTTTGGGTTCGCGGTGACGCTCCGGAGGATGCGGCGAGTCCGAGTGTCCCTCTGGGCTCCGGCGGTACCAGGCTGCATCTTGTAATCGATCTCTGAAGCAGGAACAGCCACAGTCTGACTTCTTGAGTGACTTAAGAAAAAGTAAAATATTAAAAAACAAGAAATGGAGCGTTAAGGAAAACCCAAGTTGTTTGGAGGTGAGATAAAGCTGATGGAGAGCATCTTCTGACACGTCTCAGCTCCTTGACCTGAGGTGTGTGTTTAGTCCCTCTATCCCACTACCAGATTGCAGCTAAACCTTTGAAGTTAATGAAAAATTATTAGCAAATGTGCACACACGGCCCAACTCCCATTAACTACCCCTTCTTCCAGTGGAAGAGGTAACCAAGAGGTGTCTCCAGAATAAAGAAATTACTGATTTGACTGTGGAGGCCACGTACGTCCTCTGTGGTTCTGCTGGGGCTGCAAGAGCACTGGCTAAAACGGAGCAGGCGAGGGAGGCTGGGTGCCCTGGGCGGCTGGTGACGCTTGAGACATGATCTGGGTGAGATGGGTTTCCTGCTGGTAGGCAGAGACGTGCGTTTCAGCAAGAAAACAGTGAGGGCTGAGATCGCACTTGGAGATTAAAAGCTTAAAAGATGGGAAAAAAAAAAAAAAAAAAGGCAAGTCTGTCTCCTGCAAACAGGCAGGAAGGCAGTGAGAGCACCACACTCTGGCTGGCCAGTTAAACAACTGAAGCAGTGAGCTCTGCAGATTGCTGAGTGCTTTTTTAATGAGCTGTAATGGCAGAGATTAGTTGACACAGCTCCCCCGTCCCTGCAGAGTGACTGGGGCCTGCAAGACTGAGGTGTCAGGAGAAAAAAAGCAGCAAGTTACCAATATTGGGCAGCTGGGGTCTGACAAAAAGGGAAATAAATCCCAACTGAGCTCCAATGCCAAGTTTGCAGCTCTGCAAACTGCGGGGCACAGACGAGGGCACTCCTGGTGGCCTGGGAGCTTGGGTTGGGATGGCTGCTCCTCCAGCAGAGCTTGGTTTTCTCCTTGGTTACACATCTTTGAATGTTGTTCTGGTGTCCCATTCTCCATCCAAAAAGCCAAGGGTGCATCTGAATAATGTGCTCTTGGAGCACCTGGATCAGCCATCTCGCACATCCGAGTGCATTTTAGCTGCCTCTCTCATGGTCTGCTTTTTGCTTCCACTCAGAAGGTGTCTGGGGAGCTGCACTGCAAGATCCGAGCAGAGTTCATGCGGCTTCATCAGATCCTGGAGGAAGAGGAGAGGGCTGTGTTGACAGCGCTGGGCAAAGAGGAAGAGCAGTTGCAGACAAGGCTGCACGGGGATGTCCGGCGGCTGGAGGAAGGAATCTTGGCGCTCCAGAGGGACGTAGAGCACATGGAGCAAACGCTGAGCAAAATGGAGGAGGTGTCATTGCAGGAGGTGAGTCTGCTCGGCTGCCGGGAGCAGGGGACGTTTCGGGACCTGAGTTTGGACTGGGGAGAGCAGTGAGATGAAGGGCAGCCCATCGGCCAGGCCACCACACCGGCCACCCCGGGTAGACCTGTGACACAGGAGTGACAGAGGATGAGGAGCTGGATGCCACCTCCCCTGCCTTTGCTGCATGGATGAAGTCATGACGTGGGTGCATCTCTGGCAGCTTCTCCTCTTCACCTTCTAGCAAAAGCCCTGGGACACAGGGGGGATCTCCAGCTGATGAGGAGAACCCCGTGGGGAGAAGGACTCGGCTGTGAGTCCCAGCAGACCGGCAAGTTTGGCCATGAGGTGCAGGCTGCACCTCGAAGTCACCTGCCTCCACCCTCCTGTTTATATTCCTGATGTGTTAAAGCCTGCAGGCTTGGCCTCAAGGGAGGCAGTGATCTCATGGATGTGCTGGGTGTCAGGAGCCTTCCTCCTCCTCTGTCACCTCTTTGAAGGCACCCTGACATCAGCACTCAGCCAGGTCCCCTCAGGCCAGGGGCTCCTGGCAGGCTGCTTTCCTTTCTCTGCTAAGGACAGCAGGAAACAGGACGGGGAGTTTATATCTGCAGCTGCATGAATTACAGAGAGTGACTGCTAATTCTGTGCTCCTCATTGCAGGTGGAGAGCCTGGATATCAGGTACGTGTCTGGCATGTAAGAAGCCGATTCCCTTTTCAGGAGCTTATCTCTGTCCCTGACTGGGACCGTGTTGGGGAGGGATCTTATCTCAAGCTTTAAAAGCATCACAAATCGCTTGACAAACTGCGGGTGCAGTGCCAGGTGGGAGCTGGTCCCCAGCACGTGCTGGTTGTGCCTGCAGGAGGGCGGAGGAGCTGTGTGCTGGTGCGAGTGGAACTGCCTGGCCTGCTGCAAATGGAGCCAGGCTAAAGCAACAGGTTTTGCTTGGGCTCTTTGACATCTCCCTGCCCTCCCTCAGCTTCTCGTGGCTCAAGGGGCTGCAAAATCAAACCCAAGGTACAGGTTTGTCCTGTTTGGGTGGATCGTGTCCTGGGTGCTAATGGGCCGTGAGCGGCTGCTCCCCAAGCAGTGCTGCCGCGTCCAAGCGGGACACCCGGACACCCGTGTGCTCGGAGCAGCTCTGCCCTGGGGCCGTGTGTCCCGCTGGGTGTAACACAGTGTGTGGGAGCGCAGCCGGCTGCCGCCCCGGCTCGTGTCCCGCTTTTCCCTAATCCCTTCTGCTCTGCCGTGCTGTGGTCCCATCACGCTTTGCTGAGGGTGGCAGAAGGACCCACTCTGCTCCCTCTGCCCCAGGCCCTCGGTGAGCGTCGAGACGCAGCCTGCCCTGAACCTGGAGCACTACCGGGACAGGCACGGTGGGCCCTTGCAGTACATCTTCTGGAGACGCATGCTGCGCTCCATCCGCCCCGGTAAGGAGATCGGTGCGGGCGGGTGCGCTGGGGAGGTTCGGGGGAAACCCCTCGGCGGAGGGAATACACAACCCGGGAAACACCCTGCTTCACTCCTCTGCAGTTCCCGACACTCTCACGTTCGACCCCGAATCTGCCCACCCCAACCTGGTCTTCTCCAGAGACTTCACGGCGGTGACGGAGAGGGAAGGAGCGCGGCTGGTGCCCTACAGCCCGCGGCGCTTCCAGCGCTGCGTGAACGTGCTGGGCTCGCGGGCGTTCGACAGCGGCCAGCACTACTGGGAGGTGTGGGTGGGCAGCAAGACCAAGTGGGACGTGGGGGTGGCTGCGGAGGCCGTGGACCGGGCGGCCCGGGTCAAGCTGTGCCCGGAGAACGGCTACTGGACGCTCCGCCTGAGGAACCAGACGGAGTATTGGGCCACGGCCACCCCCTGGGTGCGCCTGGCCCCGCGGCGGCCCCTCCGCAAGGTGGGCGTCTTCCTGGACTGCCACGAGGGCACCGTGGCCTTCTTCGACGCCGGGGACATGTCCCACCTCTTCACCTTCCGGCAGGTGTCCGCAGAGCGGTACTGCCCCTTCTTCAGCACCTGCTTCAGCGACGGGGAGGCCAACAGGGAGCCCATGCGCATCTGCCACCTGGCCCTGTGAGGCAGGGGGACACGGGGGACGGGGTCCCGTGCAGGCTGTGGGGACACAACTGGCTGGCCCGGCTCTGTGGGCCGGGGCTTGGTTCTGAGGACAGCAGAGAGGAGCTTCCTTGGCTCGTGGCACTGAGGACGCTGATGGGTTTCGTGCCCTCTCCGGCCACCGCTCCACCTGGTGTCTTGGAGAAGCCCCGGAGAGCTGCGGGGTCCGGACGGGCGCCGCGGGCCTGCGCGCGGCTTCGTGCCGCAGCTCCGCGCTCGGAGAGCGTTCGCGGAGCAGCGCGACCCGCACGGAGCAAGGACAGGAGCGGTGCCACGAGGGCCGCGGCCCTTGGTCTCCCGGGTTTGCCCCGGGTTTTCCTTGGCTCCGAGCGCGTCTCCCGGGCAGGGCTTTTCCCGGCGACCGTCCCTCTCTGTCGCTAGCTGTTGTCCCCCCATTAAAGCTTATCCTGCACCCTGGGCTCGTGTTTCGCAGGGAGCCCCTGTGCAGGGGTGTAGCGGGATTCGGGGAGCTGTGGGGATGCTCTGGTCCCTGATGTTTCCTTCCATTTGCTGTATGCCAGGAGATGGGAAAAGAGTCAGATGGGGAGGGCTAGGACATCAGGGGGACAGCGCATGCAGCAGGGTTGGGGTTAGGGCAGCCCATGTCACAGCTGAGGAGCCGGGCAGCGAGGACATGGCCACTTCTGCCTTTGGGCAACTTGGGTTGCGGATGCTCCTCTGACCCCAGAGGATTCCCCTTTTCCCTTCGGGCTGGTTGCAGCTGCCACGCTGGACAGTGGGACACTCACCAGGCCTCTTGCCTTGTGCTGACCCCCAGGATCTGTCTTGGGATGCGCTGGAAAAGCCTGGATGGGGGGAGAGCTGGCGCGGACATGGCCCCCCAGCCCAGAGGCGCAGGGAGGGTTGGTCTGGGCCAAGCGGGGCCCTCTGGTGCTGCTGTATCCCCATCCGGCTCCGGGGTCTCCCTGCGCCAGCAGCCCTTGCCATCCTGGCCGGCTCTGAAGCATCCTGGATGTCACGGCTTGTTGTACACGGGTGCTCGCTGCCTCCCGGCTCTGTATCCCATTGCATGTTCAGGCACAAGAAGGGCATCGTCCCCTTCGGAGCACCCTTGTCCCCACACGTTCTGCAGCAATGAGGCTCCGCGCGGCTGCTCCAGGGGCACCGCTCCGGTTCCCGCGGGAGCTGCCCTTGGCGGAAGGCCGGGCCGGGCTCCTGGAGCGAGGAGGTGACGGGGCTCGGCAGGTGTCCCCCGCGGGGCTGCCGGCCGCGTCGCTGTCGCGCTCGGCGCGGGGCTCAGCCCAGCTGCAGCAGCGGGAGGTGTCGGGGCCGAGTGCTCCGTCTGGACCCGCTCCGTGCTGGCCCCGGGGCTGGGCAGGGAGCTTCGGGGTGGGACTATCATGTTTATCCCACTAAAGTCCGCTCTGGGGTCGGTGCGGAGGCCGCGGCTAATCCGATCCCCCGAGGTGCTGGCTGCAGCGAGGGAATTCTTGCAGAGACTCAAATTCCTGCGCCGCGGTGAGGCCCGGACCTCCCCAGCCACGAGGGCTTTCCAGCTCCTTGCAGCTGGGCCAGGGGACGGTTGTCCCCTCCCGGCCTCCTGGCCCTCTCCCTGCCCTTCTCCCCGCTCATCCCCGTGCTGCCTGCCAGCTGTGGATAAAGGAAAACTGGAGCGGGAAGGGAGCCGCTTGCTGGGAAACGCTGCCGTGAGCCTGGGAGAAGAGATCAGGCTTTGGCGAGGAGGCTCCATGGGGACGGCGTGACCGTGGGGACATCATCTCCCCAGCATGTCCCAGGGTGATGGGTCCCAAAGCACAAGGCGCTGGGAGCGGGATGGCAGCCGGCTCCGCCACGGAGCGAAGCTGCTGCCCGTGGGCCGGTGGCACCGGTGGCGCCGCGTGCAGCGCGGGCTGCCAAGAGGGACCGCGATGCGGGCGGCGTGCGATGTGTGCCGTGACGTGAGCCGGCGCCAGCTCCGCGCGGCGCCGCTGCCTCCCACGTGCCAGAGCTGGCACCGAGCAGCAAAACCAGCTTGTTCTCCATCCCCGGGTGAGGAAGCGCGTCCCTCCTCCTCCTCCCGTGGCTCCGGGGAGTCCCGTCCTGCCAGCCCCATCCCCTGGGGTTTGGCAGCGGATGGAGACGAGGGCACCCAAGGGCAGCCCAGCG